TCAGAACTTAGAGCATTTCTAGGGTCTATTAGTTACTACGGCCGGTTTATTGAAATGTTACAAGTAAAATGTATACCATTGTATAGATTTTTAAAAAAGGGAAATAAATGGGATTGGACAACAGCAGATTCTAATATTATTAATAGTTTAAAGGATATACTAACATCAAACAATACCTTAGCCCATTATAACAGCAACCTTCCCATATATGTGAGCAGTGACGCATCAGACAAAGGTATTGGAGCAGTTATGTTCCATAAATATGAGAACGGAGATATGAGACCTATCGCTTTTGGATCAAGGACGTTATCAATTGTAGAACAACGGTATTCAACAATTGATAAGGAAGCACTAGGCTTAATTTATGCAGTTACTAAGTTTCATCAATATTTATATGGTCGAAGATTTACATTGCTAACAGATCACAAACCACTTGAACGTATATTTAGTCCAAACCGAGAGACACCTAAAATAGCCAGCAATCGACTTTTGAGATGGGCAATGATACTAAATTGTTATGACTACGACATAGAATATTTACCTGCAAAGGACAACTCTACAGCAGATGCCTTCTCGTTTACCATTACCAGAAGAAGATTCCTCAATAATAGAAAAAATTGGCTTACCAAAATATTCACATTTACTTCATTTAAGACTTAAAACTATACCTATTACCAAACATCGCTTACGAGAAGAAACATCTAAAGACTCTTTACTAAGAAATGTTATAAAATATATAACTTCATACTGGCCAGACAAAAAAGAAATTGACACTAACTTATATGCTTTCTATGAAAAGAGACAAGAAATGTCATATGAAGACGGATTTGTTTTATGGAACGGTAGAATTTGTATTCCAATTAATTTACGAATTGAAATATTAAAAATGTTACACGATGGACACGCAGGAATTACTGCGATGCAATCTCTAGCCCGATTGCATGTATATTGGCCGAATGTAGATAAAGACATTATCGACTTTGGACAAAATTGTGAACGATGTCAAAGATCAAGAAACACTAATAACAAAGTTCCGGTATATTCTTGGGGTATTCCCCCCGAACCCTGGTCAAGGATTCACATAGATTTCGCAGGTCCATTTCTTGGTTTTACATGGCTAATAATCATTGATGCTTACACTAAATGGTTAGAAGTATTACCAATGAAAAGCACTACATGTACTTGTACTATAAAAAGGCTACGCAGTTTATTTGCCTTATACGGATACCCGAAATATATTGTAACAGACAATGGACCTCAATTTGTAGCTGATGAATTTAGATATTTTTGTAAATCTATCGGAATAACACACATTAAAACCACACCATACCATCCCAGAACTAATGGGCTGGCAGAAAGAGCGGTGCGAACTTTTAAAGAGAGGATGGTAGCCTCACATACAGATTTAAATGAAAGATTATGTAGTTTTTTGTTCAGTTACAGAAATACACCTCAGCATTCCACTGAACGATCTCCTTTTGAATGATGTTTGGACGTAGAATGCGTTCAACATTCGATCTATTAAAACCAGACGTTCGAGGAAACATGGAAAAAGCACAATTACGTCAACAATTACAAAACAACACTAAACAGCCTATGCCATTTCAACCTGGAGATTCTGTTTGGATAAACAAAACATTACAAAAGGGTTCTGAACCTGGAATAGTGACTTCTAGAACAGGCCCTTACTCTTATTTAGTAAATACTAATGGTACGATTAAACGAAAACATAGAGACCAAATGCGAAGCAGAGTGGCTGATGGTAATAAAATTTCATATTATTTATCAAATGAAAGCCAAATTGAACCTACAGCCCAAGGAGATTCGTCCTCTCGTAACAACACATTTGATGTGAACCCTGTACCATCAACTTCATTTGAATCTGGACAGTCACTAGTTTGCCCCTCATTACCACCAAGAAAATCGGAGAGAAAGCGAAAGGCTCCAGAAAGATTTGGTTTTTAGTTTATTTTTATTTATTTTTAATTATAGTAATATATTTTTTTTAAGAGGGATGTGATGTAGTAGGGTTACTAAGCAACAAGGCTGTCAAAATAAAAACATATGTATTGCAATGGATTATTATTTAAATACATAATACTATAATACTATACGCTGTGCCGTACATTTTTACGGGATAAAAAGTAGCCTATGTGCTATTCCAGACTATATATAATCTATGTCTGTGCCTTTCATCCAGATCCGGTTAGCCGTTCTGGCGTGATTGTGTAACAAACATCCATCCAAACATCTAAACTTTCACATTTATAATATTAGTAAGATAACGGTTATTTAATTAAAATTTATATAACTTATTTTATTTATGAGTCCTGTGACCATTCCCGAATATTTACATACATGTACTTAATATAAAGCTCGAAGGTAAATAAACCCAGAGAGTGATCGTTACTATCGCATTTATTTTATTCGGCTGTTTTTCTAGCAGCGCTATTAATATTTTATTAAAGCGTAAATACTTTTTTGGTTATAGCCTCGTAAAATATGGTAGATAAAAGTGCGTTCGTCAAAGTTTTACTGCATGAACCGCATCGCTGGTGTTGCCATATATATTTAGGTGAAAAATCAAATATTTACGGATAGAAAAAAAATATTAGTTTGGTTACATGAGTGCATTATATTATTATGTTTACACATTAACACATTCCAACTATCGAGAAATACAGTTTTTTTTTATTTTAAAGATTAATCAATTCATAGTTAATTACGTACTTGTGTTATTGTATTTAGTATCCTTTTTTACCGTCCCACTGCTGGACACCGGGCTCCCTTCAAAACGAGGAGGATCAGGCTATAGTCCACCACGCTGGCCACGTGCGGGTTGGCCTTCACCGTTCAGGTATCTATCGAAAACATGCTAGGTTCTCTCAGATATGCAGGTTTCCTCAATATAGTTTACTTTACCTACTGCAAGACAAGTGTTAATCATGTTGGAAATGAGTCACACATGAAAATATCGGAAGTGCGAAACCTGAGATTTGAACCCGCTTCCTTCGGTTTTCCAAGCAAGCGCGCTACCACTGGGCTACTACTGTCTGCTTATTTTATTGTATTATATATTTTTTTATTATACCATTTAATTAAATATTTGATGTGCAGTCATTTATTATATGTATAAAACGCGCAATCATTCGTCATCAGGTATGACAAATCTGGCAACACCATGCGTAACCAAAGATCGATAAAATTTAAATATAAGCAGGTATGTAGAATATTCCATTAAAAATGGGCAAGTTATTTCGATTACGAAAGCCTGGTTGGTGGTGTCAGATACGGATAAATAATCCGTGACTAATCAAGCCAATATTCGACATGTCAGAAAGTAGACGAGCCTTGAATACTATTGCGTTTTTTTTAAATTAATAATAATTATATGTACATACATATTGCCTCTAACTACGTATGTTAATTATTTGAATTCTTGATGCTGTTTAGAAAATTATTTACGTTAGAGATAACATAAAATGATGGCGTCTGTATTGTAAGATGAAGTTACTAGAAATGGGTAACGGGTTCGTATCTTATAGCCGTTAATGACATAGCATAACTTTTTTATATACCTACATTCTATCGATTTATCCTATGGTGCGTATCTGGGTACCTAAATGTAGTCCATTTATTACTCCATGTCTATCTGTAAACTAGAAGTTATCAAAATCGGTCCAGCTGTTTTAACGTGATGAAATAAACATATAATCTTTCGTATCTATAATAATAGTAGATTTTGTAGCTTTATCTTCTTCTTATTATACATTCATATGAAGATATTACTTTAAACCTTTCTTCTTTATACATATAACATTTTATGTTTATAACACACATTATGATACATTACTCTTATAAAATATATCTTAGAAGATTATGTTAGAAATATTAAAAGGCTATTCATCTAGTTGATAAATAAAAAATGTCGTTTTCGGCCACTCATCAATCAATTAATGGCGGCTAATTAATTGTAATTGGACCGGTAAATGGGTTATGTCTTCCGATATCCCGCCATGTGATGAATGACGTAACCGCACACTGTCGAGATACTCGTATCTTCTAGTTTTAATGCCAGTGCAGTGTATTAATAACATATAAACAGGCGCAGGTTGAGAAAAAGTCAACATCCGGGAGTTTAAATCAAGGTCGATTCTGAACGTTTTCGTTAATCGATATATTGGACGCTGTTAGGTTGTCCGGATATGCCATAATAATTTAAGTTTATTCTGCGGAGTATGGTTATTTTTTTGGAAGAATTCTTGCTTAAATACGATTGATGTGTGTTAGACTATATAGATAGTTATGTGACTAAAATCTAAGTGTTGAGATATCAATTTGTTGTAAAAAATATTCCTTCTCTCTGTTTCATGACTTATATCTGGGTATGCATTAACTATCTTATTAAAGTCACCAGTCATGCTTCAGTGCAAAATTTTAAGTAAACAGATTATTTGTCTTTGTTTGTTTTGGTCTGGTTAAGAGAAAGCGTTGTGTTGACAGCAACCACCATCTATTTTACAAGCTTCTATTTAACTTGCAATATTTGTAAGTATGTTTGTTCGGGTCAAATCTTGCAACTGAATTTTAAAGCAGTTATCCTCAACTGAACGAGCTCAAAATTTTGCATAGACGTTTCGTTCTGTCATATAGACAACGCATGGTTAGATAAGTGACGTCATTCTAAATTCAACATGGCGGTCCCAACGATGGCGAACTATGTTTTTTAATGCACCTCCATGATATGGACATCAAATTAAATGGTTTGCTTAGAGGAATACGGATAAATACCTAAAAATAAAAAATAAATATTTAGATTAAATTAAACCCATTTATAACATTACACAATTTGATATAAAAACTTATTTTTTAAAATGTTTTTTTAATATTAAGTTATTATTAACTGTTACTATCTATAGACCGAAAACTGAAACTAGAAAATAACTATATATTTCTATTTATATTCTAAATTAATAACATTATTATTATTTACGTTACAGGAAAACAAATCGTCTCGAAGAAGCACTGAACATATTTGACACGATTGTGAACAACTTAAACTTCAAGGGCATTTCCATAATACTTTTTCTCAACAAATCCGATTTGTTGGCGAAAAAAGTTGCCAGCCAAGAGACTGATATACGCTGGTATTACCCCCAGTTCGCCGGAGACCCTCATAGTCTCGGGGACGTGCAAATGTTCTTGCTCAATATGTTCGCGAATGTTCGAAGGGAACCAAAGACAACGCTTTACCACCACTTCACGACAGCCATAGACACGCAAAATATAGAAGTTGTTTTCAACTCTGTGAAAGACACAATTCTCAATCGTAATTTAGAATCTCTAATGTTGCAGTGACGTGGGACGGTTTTATTGTGATAATTACTTCTTTTCAGGTGTTTGTATTTCGTAATAACACATTTTTAAAAGACAAGAAATGTGATTTTTTTTTATTATTTTTTTTATTTTTATATATAGGGCCTTGTCAGTGTTCTATTCATTTCGATGTAAACGTTCGAGTTACAGCTATGAACAAAGCTACGGAAGTACTATGATTTCTAAATATATATAGTGATAGGTTGACAATGGTTTTGTATGTTTGTAAAGTCTATCATGACGAGACCAAATATGTAGATGCACGCAAATTATTACTATGATCACTTTTTGATATATTTATATGTATGTATGTGTCGCTTTGCCCTTCTGTGTTGATTAAAAGTAAGTTGTATCGAAAAATCAGTTGCCTTATTGAATTAGGCTAGTTTTTTTATCTTTTTTAAATTAAAAAAAGCAAATATAAGTACACACTTTTTCATTAATAATGTAACATTTTGTAAATTAGAACAATTTTATATTTTAAAAATATATTCCTAGTCTTTCTGGTAATGCACAATTGTTTTAAAAATGAAATATCTTATATCTTATAATAAAATGTTTTACTTAGCAATTATTACCGACTACTGCCAGGTTAATCGATTTTTGAGACCAGAACTGTTTTAAAAATATAATCGATTTTATATAATTCTATTTGTACAGTAAACAGTGACATGTTAAATGTGGCCGCTAAAAAAGTTATATTCGTTATTTATTTAATCAATAATAATATTTAATAGGGCAATTTTAAAATATATATTTTGATTTTTTTTAATTATGAAGTTGATCGTCAAGTTGTAATTAATCTGTTTTATTTATATAGTTCTATATCATTGGGCATAACGCACTATGACCTTTGCCATGTACACTTTGTATTATAAAAAAAAATGTTTTTGACATATTATTCAAAGGATTTTCTCTAGTAACCGATTTAGCAAGTCACTAATGCTATGTCCACGAAATATATTTGTAGGCGAGTGGACTTCACGCGTGCATGTATCAATAAATTAATACATATATTCTAAATCAATGAACAAAGTCATATCTTAAATATTTTAATGAAAAAAAAAATAAGTTTATTATTTACTCATAATTTGATTTGTTTTTATAAAAAGCTCAATAAACTCTTTATTGCTATAAGTACAATATATTATAAAAAAAATATTGATACGATTTTATTTAATAATAAAATGACACAAAAAATAGTGATTTTTGAGATATGCCTTTGTTATACTTAATAATGTAGAGACAATTCGGAAGACTTTGAATCCTTAGGGAGTAAAATGTATATAGCAACTGTGATTAAATATGCAGGCTGTAAACAGCAACGAAGTGTGTATTATGCACGTTTAAATTTAAATAAAGTCTCAAAATGCCGCTCAAATGTACACGTTAGAGCATGTTTGGATGATTTTTTGCAACATTTATATGATATTTTAAATAAAACTATCTTTTCGGATTTATTTTGGTTTTTGGTTCCCGATGTTTCGAATGATTTATACTTTACAACAATCATGGTCACGGGAGAGTGATTGCTGTAAAGCTTTCAAAACGTCGGGAACCAAAAATCAAAGTAAATCCGCGAAAAGATTATTTTATTTAAAATGTCAAATATTCGCGTTTAATCTAAGGAAGTATTACATTTATATGATATTTGAATTTACAATTTTATTCCACGTAGCATTATACTGTATGTGTAGGTCATTGAATTTTTAACCTTAATCAGTAATATGTTTATGAGCGATTTTTAATAGAAATAAATTGTTTTTATTTTTTTATTTTCCTTCCTTTTATAGTTGTATTTTAATTATTTTTTTAAATTAGAAAAAAAAAATAGAATATACCATTCGGATGATTATAAGCAAATATGTAAATGTAATGGCGCAGTTAATGAAATAGCGATACGAAGTGATTATATTTATTAATTTACCTAATTTTCCTTTTTTATTTCAACGCACATTTTAATGATTTTTGTAATTTTTTGCGTGATTATGAGTGTTTCAACATAATTCCGTCCGATGGCGCACATACAGAGGACACGCCCCTAACAAACTATTTATAAGCAACCAAGCAAAGTACACACATTGTGGTCACATTTCAATATCAATCTGTTTTTTCATATTATATTTTTTATTATTATCTAGTGCATAATTTTAAACATAATATAACTATACTCATTTAGTGTAAAATGTAGAATATTTATTTAGATTTTATTCTGTTTATGGATTTTAGCATAAATGATTTATTTATTCGAGGCGATCGGTTAATTTGAGGCTATATTATATGTAAATACCTCTTTTAGTTTGATTATAGTGTATGAATGTTTTAGTTAAGTTCGTACACACCCGGAGACCCAGACCAGTTGTGCGATTTCATAATTTGTCAATATCGTCCGTGAATTTCTTAGATCTTCTATCTACTTTGAAATTTTACAGGAGGAAGCTAATTTTTAATTTGACGACACGTTTGGCGCAGTTTGTAGTGACCCTACTTGCTGTGTCAGCGGTCGTAAGCTTGAGTCCCGCTGGACACATCTATTGGTGTGATGAGCACAAATGTTTGTACTCCAGTCATGGGTATTTATATTTATAATATGTAGGTATTTCATTCATCGTTCATCGTCATTCTATTTAAAGTTATATATGTGTAGTGTATCAACTATCTGGTATCCATAACACAGGCTTCGTAGCTTACCATGGAACTAGATGGTGCTGTGTGTTAATATCCCAACATATTTATTTGGTTGGTATTTACTATGATGATATATATTTTTATGATATCAAAATTAAATCCAGTTAGTATTATGTTGGTTTTGCCAAATTATAGCATTGAAATAAAGTTTTGCGCAAAAATTTTAGTTAAGAGGTATTAGAAGTTCACGGATGATATATCGATATTATGTTTTCTTTTTATTACAAATGTGTATGATATTTTTTCCCAAAGTTTATTCCAGTATTCCTATAAATTGTCTTTCCGAAATACATTTCTGCTATCGTATCTTTTTTTTCTTATTTCAAAATGTCACTTTTCTACATATAATAATAATGAAGTTATAATAAATATATTATTTATATTGTTTTGTGATTTTGAATGTAGCATGATGAGTAAAATAAATTTTGTTAACACTATTGCTTTCTTGATGCACAATTATTTTTATACATTTATAAAAGCACCATATATGTGAGAGTTTAAAAATACCTGTCTATGAATGATTATTTTTAATTTTTTTACTTCCATTTGATTTTTTCTAAATAATATTTAAAAGGACTTTGATATTTATTATAATGCATTTTTTCATAATATAGTAAATTGTTATTCGTAGTATAAAAATTTGAAAGTACAGCCAAAATGTTCTTTTTTAAATGAGTTTTACTTTATAGGTAAATATTTTTTATGGGGAATGAACGTTACACAGACGTATTTTAACTTATTTTATCGTATATATAGTAATCTCGAATATATTATGGCCAATATTCTATCATATATACTAATTATAGCACTCAATTTGGCTTAACAGTTGTTCTGATGTGAAAAAAAGGTCGCAAGACAAAAAACCTACGCTTGTGCATCTTTAGTATGAGTTTTGAAAGTAAATGTAACAGTATTTAATTTTTTCACTATCGATATTACTCATAGACCTAGAGAATAGGCTAATCTATACTCTCATGAAGTTGACAAAGAGAGAAAGCGAACGTGCGGCCAATACCCTCCTTTTTCAATTTGAAATGGAATGTGAAAAAAATATATTATTATAATTTATTAAAAATTATTATAATATTATTATACTGCAATTTAAAATGGCTTTAAATATCTATTGTCATTAATCGTATTTCAATTAATACAGAAGACTTCTGGCCGCGCATTCGTTTTGTCTCTGTCGCACCTTCCCGCCATTTTTAGTTGACGGCTGGCAAATAAACTCACAGTTCAGTCTTTATATCTATGGTGTTACTTATCTCTTTGAACCAAATCAAAATCGAACAGTCGTTTTATAATTTTGTTAGTTTGAAAAAAGCAGCAAATTGTTGCACAATTCTCAACAAGTAGTAATTTGAATGCGCGAATAGTATCCACTCGATTGGGGCTTACATGATAAGTATATTTAACCTCCGACGCATGAAGAGGGGCGCTTAACTTGTTTATCTGTGTATTTGTCTGTGGCATCGTAGCACCCAAACGGATGAACTGATTTCTATTTAGTATTTTGTTTGTTTGAAAGCTGACCAATTATAATACGCGTTTATTGCGAATTATCGAAAATTGTATAGTGACAATGATTGTTAAAAAACTCGTACTAAAGACCACGATAAGGTTAACATTATTTTTAATTCACAAACGCATACATATATCTTTGTTAGTTTGTCCTGAAAAAATTACTTATGAAATCTGAAAATATTAAAATTGTCTTTTTCAAATTCTGTCATGTTATAAGAGGCAAAGTACATATAAGACGAAATCAAAGCAATAAAATTGAGATTATAAATATAGTGATGGGATAAAACATATATTTAGATATTAATTTGTGATATTCAAATATAAATGAGTATTTATTTCACGGGAATATTATGAAGTATTATTATATTCTTATCTGTTGCTACGATTATTATTTTTTATCTATGTATATGAGAACTATTAAAATTATAATATATTGTCTTTTGAAAATTTGAGAAGATTTTTAGTTGTATCTTCCTTAATCAACTTCACATACTTAATTACTTATAGGATATTTTTTTGCTGGTAATAATTTCCCGTGAGATTTAAGTTGAACTTTAATGATGTTTAATGAAATTGTAGTTTATGAATTTGTCAATAGATGGCGTTACTCAAGAACGTTGAAAAATAGCTAGTACATAATATTTATATTTATAATCTGTGACATCCTCATCAAATTAGTAATGATTTATATATTATCTTTGTATTTAAACGCTTTTTATTACACGTTTTAAAATTTAAATTAATAAATAACGTTTTAAATGTATAAT